TGGGTTTGTGGGCTCAACAGACGAAGATGAAGCGCTCTCTGCTTTTCCCGTGTGATTGTAGACAGAGGGGGAAAAGGCGGGTAGAGGCACGGGACAAAGCTAGTCCGCCAGAACTGGACAGCACCCACTCTGTAGTGGGTCCTTTGAGTGGGTCCCCGAGCCCCCAGAAAGGATAATTCAGGGGGCAGGCAGGACGCGCAGTTGAAAGAGGAGCCCCGGAGGGGGAGGGGGCTACCTCCTCCCCCGCCCCGCTGCGGCCAGCTCACCCTGTCGCCTGATGTCTAAATAAGGCTTAGAGGCACGCTCTAGGCGGCTAAAAATAAACTCCCCGCCCCTCCCCGCTTCTGCCCTTGGACTTTGGCGACCTCCCCAGCCCCACCGGGCTCCCCTTGCCTGGGCCAGCTCCCTGGAGCGCGCCCCCATCGCGTGCTAGGAGGAATCGCGTGTCTCAGGGATGCGGGGGTCCCAGTGCAGTCCCCTGCAACAAGGGGAGGCCTGAAGTCAGGACTCTTGGTCCTCCTCTGGGCAACACCCTAACAAAATCGGTCCAGTTTTTCTCTTCTCTGAACCCCAGTCTCCCCGCTCATAGAAGGAGGTGCTGGAATCACGTGGTGAAACTCTGACATTAAAAAAAAAGTGTGTGTGTGCGCGCGCGCGCGCGCGCAGAGATGTCTAACACCCTGTTTGGAAACACTGGCATTTTTTGAATGAAGTTCATGAGGATTCCTTAGAGTGCGTCTGTCCCGCGGATCCACTTTTATCTCATAAAGTCTTTTCTAAAAGTCTCTGAATTCACATACAAATCTGGATCCCTAATTTCTCTTGAAAAATCAAATCTGGCCACCCTGGGCCAGCATAGGAGGCTGGCAAGTGAGTGGGAGTTGAGTAGCGGATGCCCCCTGCTGACAGGACGTGCGCACTACAGGTGGTGCCCGCCACTCCACAGTAAGGTTTCCGCTCAGCCAGGCCTGCAAGGCAGGTGTGGCTCCTGGGGTGGCTGCCTCGACTTCTCTGAGTGCAGGTAGGTCCTGCATCCCAGAACCCAGGGTGGCTTTTCTCTGTTCATTCACTGAAGGCGTGAATGGGACGGCTTAACTGAAAAGGACCGGTGTTGTGAGGCTGAAATATGCTCCCTCATCCTAAGAAGGGACACTAGGCACACACCCCCTTATTCCTAGCTGGGGGTCATCAAGACAGTGAAGATCCTCTGTGTGGGCTGCTTACCTCAAGGCTGTTTGTTGGGGCAGATGGCACAGTCCTGCTCTGTAACACCTGGGCTTTGCCTTGAGCAAGGGACCTCGACTTGAGGCAGCTAACAACCACGGAAGACCAAAGAAAATGGCTACATTTGAACTATGGTCTTGGGCGAAGAATAGTCAAAGTACCATGGACTGCCAAAAGAGCAAAGAGACCTGTCTTAGAAGAAGGACAGTCAGAGTGCTCCTTCGAGGCAAGGATGGTGAGACTTCATCTCATGGACTTTTAGACATGTCATCAGGGCAACCCGTCCCTGCAGAACGACCTCGTGTTTGTGAAAGTGCAAGGGCAGCAGAAACAGAGGAAGGCCCTCAAGGAGATGGACGGCCAGAGTGGCGGCCACCGTGGGCTCAGACAGAAGCACAATCGTGAGGATGGCGCAGGACTGGGCAGCGTTTCATTCCGTTGTGCACGGGATGGCTGTGGTTGGAACCGATCCGCTGGCATCTGGCAACAACAGCATACAACAGTGAGAGCCATTGCCTGGGCTTCCTGCAAAACCTTGGCTGGAAAATTACTGGCAGAAGCACACAAGATCTCAAATAATTATTGAGAGCCCTTCTGGAGGGCAACAGAGGGCAAGGAAGGAAGGGTGGGGAGGAGGAGCATGTAGGGGAGCGAGGATAACACAGAAGTGTCCGGAGACCAGGGCTCTGGTCAGTTAGCCAGCACGCACCCAGCTCCTTAGGAGCTGGGCACTTCACGGAGTTGAGAAGACTGAGCTCAGACTGGCTCGCAGGCATCATGCAGTGTGCCCCACCTTGATGTACAAACGGGTGATAGGTGGTATTTAGGAGAACCTGGGAAGAGGAGAGACTTTGTCCTAAGTGCCCAGTTTCAGTGAGGACGGAGGAGGAGAATGTTCACCAGCTGTCTTCCTTGGGAGTCATAGTGACTCCATTTGTAGCCCTGGTTGTGTAATGGTTATGCACTGAGCTGTGATCTGCATGGTCAGCAGTTGGGGACCACCAGCAGCTCCTTGGGAGAAAGCCTGGTCTATCTACTCTGTGTCAATGGTTACAGTCTGGGAAACCCACAGGGGGCACTATGAGTCAACACTGTATCTCACTCACAGTGAAGAAAGTCAAGTCCACACTAGACCTTTGCTACCCAAACTCGGGTTCAAAGATCAGCAGCATTGGTCTCATCAGGAGTTTAGGAAAAAGGCAAATATTTGCTCCACCCCAGAACTCCAGAGTCAGAAGGCACATTTTAACAAAGTCCAAGAGGTTTTCCAGGAGCCCTGCAGCATGGTTGTTACTTGTTGGGCTGCTAACCACAATGTCTGAAGTTTGAGTCCACCAGCCACTCTGTGGGAGAGCGATTATTTCAGAAACGCACTTGGGCAGTTCTACCCTGCCCTGTCGCGTCGCCGTGCAGCGGCATCAGCCCATGGCCGCGAGTGGGAACATGTTTGCAGGCACATTACATACACCCTGAGGAGGTGCTGCTTTACAGGCCCAAACTCCAAATCACATCCATGGCACCATCAGGGCTCCCTTTCCATGGCAGTGGCTCTCAGTGTTGGTTTCAGACCACAGAGAGGACTTTATAAAATGCTGATGTCTGAGTTCCACTCCGGCGAAGCCTGGTCAAGGGGAGTTCTCGAAGCTCCCCAGGAGATATCAGATCTAAGGATCACAGTTCTCCTCATTGCACTTGTGCTGGGTGATCTTTGGCAAGACCAGTTCGGTCCTTCACTGAACTTCAGTGTCTTCTTCTCTACAATAGGGTAGGAAGAAGGGATGAAAGTAAATGTTTCTTTCTGGTCTTTACCCAAACTCTGAACACTGAAGGGGATCCGGAGGTAATCTAATTGGACTGTACTGTCTGGCGGTAGAGTGGTTACGCTTGGGCTGCCATCCTGACAGCAGTTTGAAACCACTAGCTGGTCTGCAGGAGAGGGAACCGGGCTTTATACTTGTGAAATCAGTTACAGTCTCAGAAACTCACGGGGGCAGATCTAGGCTGTCCTGTAGGGTTGCTGAGAGTCAAAATCAACTGGGTGGCAGTGCGTCGTTTTGTTTTGTTTTATTACAAGGGGAGAAATGGAAGCCCTGTGAAGTTGAAACTCTTGCCTAGAGTCTGAAACACCATTATGAAGACAATGTTGCCTGTAGACATATGCGTTTGGTTCTGTGGAGATTAAACTGACTTTACCACTGTGGAAGAGACCAATTTTGCCTTGTTGTTGGGGGAAAATATACCCCAAATCCAATGTCTGTTACAGAGACCCCTTTATTAAGTCAACTAGAACAAAGATTAGACAAAGACAAATCACCCAGATGAAGGTGTCCTTCAGCATGAGCCTGGAATACTGCCAACATGTCCATGGCCATGCTGCTCATTTCAGCAGAGAGAAGGCCAAGGAAACTCGCCACATCATGACTGGTGACAGGTCAGCTCTTTACCATCACACAAATTTGAAGGGGAACCTGGCTGGGACATACACACTGTTTTCGGAATGATTTACGGGATTGGTTCTGGGGCATCGTCACCTCCACCCCCCATCCCCCTTGGTGTGTTGGGCTGAGTGGACTCAAGAAACAAATCTAGCGACGCTCATACGTGTTAAGAAAGAGCTGTATATTAAGAAGCTTTATATATGTCGGGAAAGCATCCCAGCCCAGTCCAGTTCAAGTCCATAAGTCTGACACTAGTCCATGAGTCCCTCTTCAGACTCACGCACTGCATGCAATGATGCAGACTGCAGGAAGATCACAGGTCAGTGAGTGAAAAGTCTTGTGGATCCAGTGGCGGTGGCCGCACAGCATCACAGGGTCCTCACAGGTCTCAGAGTAGCTTGTCAACAGGAAGGTGAAGTGTGTGCCCTTGTGCATGATACACAGAGAGAGAGAGAGAGAGAGAGAGAGGTGGGGGTGGGGGTGGGGGCCAGGGGTATAGGGGTGGGGGGCCTCCAGAGAGCCATTTATCTTGGTCGTACTTTCAAAGGAGGTCATCAAGCTTTGACCTGATTGCCAGGCTAAACTCCACCCATATCTTCTTGTAGGTGCCATGCTGGCACCCCAAATACCCCTAACTATCACAGTTGAGGCATGACTCAGGACCAGGCTGCCCTGGTAACCCAATTTGCACCAAGGAAACACCCAAACAAATCCCTGAGGTGAGACTGGACTGACGACCGGAGGCACAGCAATGCACTTTCAGCCACATTCTGCCCTGGGACAAAGCTTTTTACTTCGTGAAAGGTCTGAAGGAACTCCCTGGAGGCGGGGCTCACCTTCAGACTCAAATGGAGTGGGCGTCACTGCAAAACACAATCCTGAGAATTTGGGGTCTCGTGCAGCTAATTAATATAAAATGATTACATTTAGGCTAATTAAAAGTGGGCTACTACAAAAGCGCTTACTAGTTGTATCATTACTACATAGTCATTGGTAAAACAGTGATTCGCAACACGAATATGGGGAGCGGTACTATTGGCCGCGAAAAGGGGCCAGTTTGCCCGGGAGATGGGGAAAACGCCGGCTCTGCGTTTGGCAATGCCCTTCCTGCGGTGACAGACAGGAGAGCCCAGCTCCGCCCCTCCCACCCAATCAGATCCGTCCAGCCCCACCCCCGGCGTCCATTCCCTTCCCTTTCCCCTCCCCCGCCGTCCCGCCCCCGCTCCCGCAGGAGGGGCTTGACCCGCGTCACAGGCGGGGCTCCATCAGGAAGCGCTAGGGGGCGGTCCGGAAATCTCGGCCGGGGCGGGGCGACTCTGCTTTGCATTCCAACGCTCAGCTTTGCATCGCTGGTCCACGCACGCCTTTAAAGGCGCCTCGGCCGCCGCAGCCGCAGACCTGCTAGGCAACTCTGCGTGGGCCCACCGTCACGATGGCCCTTCCTCTGCGGGCGCCGCTCCTGATCGCGCTCGGCGTGCTCCTCGTGGGCCCGGCGACCCCTGCACGCATCCTCCGGAGCCAGGTGAGCACCTCTGCCTTTAGGTCGCCGCTTCCAGCATCCCGCTCCAGTGGATGCTGTGCGGGACAGGGTGGGAGGTGGAAATGGCCACTCCGAGTAGTCTGTCGAATGACTTCTCTTCGGCCAAGCCCATCAGACCCACGAGCTATGGGATTCTGAGCGGCTCCCTTCCTCTCTGCGGATTCGGTTTCCCCATCTGCACAGCGGGGACGCGCGCAAGAGGTTTTGTTGTCCGCCGGCGTTTTTTTGGCGGGCTCAGTCTCACGTCGCTGCCTTAGTCCCAAGTGAACTGCAGACTGGAAACAACGGCACGGCCTTCAGACCCAGAGACATGGCTCAGCTCCCCACGCTCCTTCCTTCCCCAGGTGACATAGGGTAGGACAGCCGGTTCTGGGCCTGCTTGAGACCAGCGAGTCTACACTTGTCCAGCTGGTGATCAAGATTAAGATCAAGATCTTGATCAAGACCTGTGAGCGCTGGAGAGGCAGGCTTCCATCCTCTGAGCTGCCGGCCTAGCTTCTCATTCACCCTGCGCTGTAGACTTCCAGCAGGGAAGTTCTGTCATACCAAGACCCAGAGAAGCCCAGTTCCAGTCCTGTTTGCCAAGCAGCACCAGACAAGGCATTAAATGCCTTGGGGCAATCAGACACAGGCCCACCTCAGATCCCCTCTCCTACCACCTTGGGAATGTTGGTCTGAAGTCAAGGAACCAGGGTGTGGTGTAAGGAAGAGAGCCAAGAGGTCAGGCCTGGTTTCGGTTCCCTGCTGTTTCTAATCCTTTGTTTTCCCCTGGCTTGGAGCTCCTCATCTGCACGGTCAACGTGCTGCTGGGTGCACAAAAATGCTGTTGTGAATTGAAAAGTTATAAAATACTAGACAAATCAGCAGCAGCAAATCAGACTTGCTGCCGTCGAGCCAATTCCAGCTCACAGCCATCCTGTAGCGAGAGGAGAACTACGCTGGTGGCTTTCCAAGAGTACAGCCTCATCTTTCTTCTGTGTAGTGGCTGGAAGTTTCCAACTGTGGACCTTATGGCTGGTTAGCATCCCAACGCCTAACCCCTTAGGCCACCAGTTTCTAAGTAGACAGAGGATATGTGATAAATCAGTGGCCTTGGGTTCACCCTGGCCCCAGGCAAGGACTCTTGCCTGTGAAGGAAAGAGCAGGGCTCTTTGGGTCACTTGCCTTGAGAATTCATTTTCATTTCTTCCTGGAGTGTGGGTTGAGCATGCTTATCTTGGCTGGCACTGAGGCGGAGCCATGTTAGGGGCTGAGTTCGTGCTGCCCTCCTAGATGCCTTAGCTAGGATGCCATCCCAGCCCAGAGGGTCTTTGATGGGCAGCTCTGGAGAGTGCCCGAGACATTATCCAGTCACTCCTCTTTCAAACAACCAGAGAGGACAAGGAGTCCCCTAAGGTCATCCTTTCAAACCTAAGGTGGCACTTTCAATCCTTGTCTGCTTTCATCCAGGCCTTCTCTGGGCAAGGTTTACAGCTGTGGACCTGAGGCCAGGGGCCACTTAAGGGTTGTGGGAGGATGGTGTTAGAGCTTCCGGAAGCCTGCTTTTCTGCTCTGCTGTTAGCATTAACCACCCATGTGATTTCCGGCTGTGGTGAGCTGGCGTTTATAGATAATGAGAGACTATCTAGCCCCGTGGGCATCTTGCTGTAGATAACCATGCACAATGGATCAAAATGATGCCCAGTCCAATGCCATCCCCATGATTGGTTGGATATTGAACCATTGTGATCCGGGTTTGTATTGGTTGATGTCTGGACGGTTGTTTCCTCCAGTCCACCTTATCTGGAAGCCTCCCTGAAGGCTGTTCGACATCAGAGCAAAACTCAAGTTGTCTTGAGGCGCTTTGGCCAGGACTTGCATGAAAGACCCCAGAATCCTATCACAGATCCAACAATCCTCCCCCCCCCCTCACCCTGCTTATCTGGACATCAGTTAGTGGGTGCCGTCAATTGATTACCACTCATCGTGACCCTTTGTGACAGAGCAGAAATGTCCCATTGAGGTTAACAGGTTGTAATCTGCACAGAAACAGATCCTTAGAATTTATCTCCCATGAGCCCCCTGGGGGCTTCTGACTGTTGACCTCTTGGGCAGCCAATAGCTTCACTGCTTCCCAAGGCTCTTTACCCTGAGCATCTCATGTTGTTGTTAGGTGCCTCTGAGTCATCTCTGATGCGAACAGCCCAATGTATAGCAGAACAAAACAGTGGCGGCTCCCTGCTGCGCTCAGAGTTGGTTTTGTGCTTGAGCCCATTGCTGCAGCCCTGAGTTAATTAGTCTTGACAGAGTCTTCCTCTTTTTTTGTTGACCCTCCACTTTCCCAACCAAGCCTGACCCTTGGGTTCAAGCCCGTGAGATGAAGCCCCAGCCTACTCGCCTCGAAGGGGCGTTCCGGCCGCGCTTCCTCCAAGACGGGTTTGTGTGTTCTCTTGACAGCCCCTGGTGCTTGCAAGAGTTGCCAACAACTTCATAATTCGAATGTCTCCATGATTCCTTGGTCTTCTCTATTCATTACCCAGCTTTCTCGGGCATCTGAGGCGATTAAGAATACCTTGGCTTAAGTCAGGCACACCTAGTCCTCACAGTGACTTCTCTAACACTTGAATAGTCTGAAGCAGCGCATCTACTCAATGCCATACATTGTTTGATTTCTTGACTGCTGCTCCCGGGAGCATGGATTTGAATCCAAGGAAAATGAAATCCTGGGCATCTTCCATCTTCTCTCCATTGGTGTAACCTACTGGTCCGGTTGGGAGACATTTTGTTTTGTTGGCCTGCAGTCTTTGGCCTTTATCAGCTAGTCCTCCACATTCTCTTCACTTAGCACGCCAGACCGGGGCCTCTGCAGGCCGAAGATGGCTACCAAGCCTCCCTGCAGTCATGGGGCTAAGTTCCTCTTCCTGCTGTCCATCTTCCCTGTGGTTCTGTGTCATGGCTGTGGCTTACCGCACCCATGCGCATGCTCTGCCCTGGGCATGCATTTGTTTTGTTCTCCTAAGAATGCTTTTAGTTCTGAGATTATTTAAACTATATACCAAGGTCGCAAAATGCGGAATTTCCACATATTTCTCACCCAGTTTCTTTTCATGGTGACATATATTAGCAACTGAAAAACCAATATTGGCACATTCATGACCAGGAACTACACTACAGACGTTGGATTTCACCAATGTTTGGGTTAATGTCCCCTTTCTATGCCAGGATCCAACCCAGGTATCACCTTGCATTGAGTTGCCTATGGCTCGGGGGCTGGGACGGTTCCTTGGCCTGCACCCCGATCCCCCGCCCCCCTCCAACTGTTTTCTTTTTGTAATGACCTCAGCAGTCACGAGCTGTGCCATGCTCCTGGTGCTTATGAATTGCTAACACTCCCACCAGCCTGCCGGGAAGGTATCATTATGCCCAAATAATAGATGAGGAAATTGACAACCAAGGGGTTCACTTACCCGTGTTTTGGGCTAGTAAGAGAAGCTGAGCCCTGACTTGACTCCAGACTGTGATTTGCGTCCCTTTCTCTCCCTTTGAGCTGTTGTACGCTGCACCTGTCCACCTAGGGTGTTGGCTTTGGCTGGAGATTGCAAATACCTCCTTGCACCCATAGACCCTTCTCTCCCAGTGAGCCAGGGCTTGGTCACAGAATCCAGGGCCACAGAGGCCTTTGGCAGAAACTTCCTAGAGGGAAACCATTGTATTATGCCTGGTTGAAGGCCTGGGGGGTGTGTGTGTGGTGGGGTAGGGGTTGGGGGCCGACTTAGGAGAGAGGAAGGGGTTCTTCGGCTCCACTATGATTCCCTGGATGCTTCTTCAGCCCAGAACCAACCCTCGATATGAAATAGACTGCTTAGCACCTGACCAGCCCCGGAAAAGGGCTCGTCTTCTACTCTCTAGCCCAGAACTTCATTCCCAGCATTCTTTGATCAGACAGTGGCTTCCTTCTAATTGTGTCCCTCTCCCATCTTTTCTCAACCATACGGCAGAGCAGGGCTCCCTTCAGCAGGGTCCCATTGCACGTAAAGTACACCCAGTCCCTGGACCAGGATCTCGGAGCCCTGCATTACATGGCCTTCGCTGCCCACCCCGACCTTAGGCTCCCTCACCTGTGACATCTAGATGACCAGCGCTCTGGTCATTTCCAGGGTGCAGCTAAGTTCTTTCTTAGTTACCTCAGGGCCTTTGCTCATGCCTCCTCTGCCTGGAACATTCTTTCTGTGCTTCATTCACATGGCTGCCTCCTGGTCCTGCATATGCTTTGCTTCCTCACCACCCCTTGCTACTCTCAGCATTTCCTTTGCAGCGCCCACAAGTTGCCCCTGGTAATATTTATTTGCATCAGACTGTAAGCTCCACCAGGGAGGGGAGGAGCCACAGCTGGTTGTTTATCACCATTGATACTGCTTAGCCCAGGGCCCATCATCACTGATTCATAAATATTGATGGGATGAATGTCGAATGAAACATTTGTTAGCACCTACCCTGAGTAAGGGACCACGGGAGATGCCGGGATGAGTCAGACTCCTGTCCCTGCCCTTCTGTCACAGCAGGTTTCATTCCAAAGAACAGAAACTCATTCCAAGATGCTTAAGTAAAGGGGAAGCTTATTTTAGGTATACCAGGAATCTCATGGAACTAGTCATTTGCAGGAAGTGGAGCTGGAAAGGCCCTGAAGCATGCAGTGCTGCCCCTGAGTGTCTTAGCGATCCAGTGTCGGTGACATACCCCAAGGGGCTGGCTCTCACAGCAGAACTTTATTTTCTCACAGTTGAGGAGGTTAGAAGTCTGAATTCAAGCTACCAGTGCCAGGGGAGGGTTTTCACTCTGTTTGCTCTGCAAGGTCCCCTTCTCTCTCTCACTCTTTTAAAAATACTTTTATTGGGGGCTCTTATATCTCATCACAATCCATGCATTCCTCCAGTGTGTCGAGCACATTTGCACATATGCCGCCATCATCATTTTCAAAGCATTCTCTTCCCACTTGAGCCCCTGATATCCGCTGCCCATTTCTTTCCCCTCCCTTGCCCGCCCTCCCTTGCGAACCCTTGATAAGTTATAGATTATTTTTTCCATAGGTCCCTGTCTCTTAGTGTCTGCCCATGGGCAGTCTTCATGCAGAGTGACGTCTATCTGTCTTTCCCCATCGCTGTGTGCTGGTTTAATCTCTTTTGTATCTCAAAAGATACAGACAGAAGATACGCCCTACCCTAAGCCTGTCTTTTTAATTTAGCGAAGATAATCCATTCCCAAAGGAGATTATAATCACAGGCACTGATATTAGGATTTGCCACACCTATTTTGTGGGACATATTTCAGTTCCTCACAGTGAGCTTGCTCACAATTTCCTTATACTGTGTGTTTCATTTACACATTATCCCTCACTATAGCTTGAACTCCCTGCTATCGAGTCAATTCGGACTCATGGTAGCCCTACGGGGCAGGGTAGACGTACCCCTGTGGGTTTCCGAGACTGTAACTCTTTGTGGGAGTGGAAAGCCTCATTTTTTTCCCCTGAGGAGGACCTGGTGGTTTTGAACTGTGCACGTTGTGGACTGCAGCCCAACAGGGTTCTATATTTCTGAAAAGGAGGTATAAGAGATGTGGAAATCGGGGCTCAAGGGCTTTTTTTTTTTTTTTTTTTGCCAATAAACCCTCTGGTAGAGGAGGTACACTGGTACAGATAGGAACTGAAAATACAGGGAATCCAGGATGGATGAGCCCTATAGGACCAGTGGTGTGAGTGGCAAAACAGGGAGGGTAAAGGGAGAATGGGTAGGAAAGAGGGAACCGATTACATGGAACTGTGTGTGACCTCCTCCCTGGGGGACAGACAACCGAAAAGTGGATGAAGGGAGAAGTCGGACAGGGCAAGATATGACAAAATACCCATTTATAAACTATCAAGGGCTCATGCGGGAGGGGGGAGCGGGGAGGGAGGGGAAAAATGAGGACCTAATGTCGGGGGTTTAAATGGAGAGAAAATGTTTTGAGAAACGATGTACAAATGCGCTTTACACAATTGATGTGTGTATGGATTGGGATAACAGTTGTATGAGCCCCTAATAAAATGTTAAAAAAAAAAAAAAACCCTCTGGTATATGTGACTGAGCTGTGATTTCCACCTGGATCTGTTAGACCGAAACCTTAGTTTACCCCATCATTGTTCTAAGCTATGTCTTTCCCTGCTACTGTATTCTGCCTCAGCAGGTGAAACAGGAACCGAGATCCACCCACCTGTTCCTCTTCTGCAGAGCAGCAGAGCTGTGGGCTCCATCTCGTACCCAAGCCCAACTTGCTCACAGGACCAGATGCTCGGCGCCCCCCCCCACCCAAAGTTTATGACCCAATGACAGCTCAGAGCCCAACTTCTTCTGAGTGATTCAGCCTGGGTCTCAATTCCAACACCAGGCACAGAGAGCTCTGTTTGCATAGCTTGGATTGAGGATTCCTAGTTAGTCTGGTCGGCCATTGCAGATGAGGCTCAGGGACTTGCAGGCTTGCTTTCTAAGGGGGTCTGGTTGTCTTCGGGAAGCACGAGACGGAGGGGGTTCTCGTCATGAGACAGGCAGATGTGGAAGTGGAAGTGGTCATATGTAGCTGGACAAGATAGTGATGGAATTTGCAGCCCTTCTGGGGAATGCGGAAGAGATCAGGAGATGCGGCTCAGCAGAAGGAAGAATGATTCAGGAGGGAGGGGTGTTGGGGGTGGGGTGGGGGGTATGACATGGACAATGATCTAGGATTGGGAATGCCCAGGAGTGGGCAGGTTCATTCACTGGGAGGCATTAAGCCCACTGCCAGGCATCAGCTTTTTGTGAAGGTCTTTGAGGGTGGGGTTTTGGGTACTGTTCCGTTTCCTGGCCCTGGGTTGGGCATAGAGGATCATGGGAACAGGATCCGGGGTACCACGTTGGATCTTCCAGGAGTTTGCTTTCTAAGGGGACCCTGAGAGGGGCAAGTTGGAGAGGGATGGGGGTAGCAAGTTGGGAGATCAGGGAAGGAACCAGAGGTGGGTAAGGTTTGACTGTTGTCTTGTTTGACTCACAGGATGACTTGCTCTTTAGACATTAGGTCTTTCACGTCTTTAACGTGTGTCCTGCCTACGAAACACTGGTAGGCCGAATGTTTCTCTGGGTTTACTGATAGGGTAACTTGTGGGGTTAAGGGGAGAGGGGCTCCCCACAAAACATCACAGGCGCAATTATGCAGCGATAATAAGTAAAGACTATAGTAAAGTTATAGAGAGCATGAGAGATAAAAGAGATACATAGAAATAAATGGAGTCAGACACATTTTACGGTAGCATTGCGAAACTTTAATGCTTCCCAAGCGTTTATCCTCTCTGGGGACGTGCAAGCCCCCTAATTACAGGTGAAGACATACGTCACAGGAAGGGGCAGTACAATAGGCATACACATTGTAGGAAGGGGATCTATGATAGGCATAAGCATGACAGGAAGGGGATGAGCTAGGGGTGTGCCCATAGGAATGGGAAGGTCTAGGGGTATACATGTGACAAGATGGGCGGACCCTAGATTCATGATGGCAGCCTAACCTTGGTCATCCTTGGGCGGGTTTGACCTCTCTGGTGTCTCCTACAGGGAAACAGACAACTACTATCCTTATCAGAAGGGAGTGGGCCCTACTTGTGGGATAGACAGTGGTGTCTGCTTGCTCTAGACAGCTGATAGCTCTCAGGGAGAGTGACCCCCAATCCATTCCTGATGACCTCCAAGTGTATAGTCATTCTCAAGCAGCTAAGTCTGGCATATATTTGGGGGAGACAGCTTGAGAGAAATCCTTCTGTTTCCCACAGAAACAGGCCCAGCAAGGGGAGGGACGTGGCCTAAGGTACAACCCCCCTCCCCCAGTAACCCATCCTCTGATTCTGCTGACCCGTAAGCATTGCTTTTGTCAACTTTTCTCTCCTTTCCACCTCTCTGATTGCTCCTGGCCACCCCAGCTGGGCAGCTTTAGCTGGGACAACTGTGATGAGAGCGACCCTGCTGTGCTCAAAAGCCTGACCCTGGAGCCCGACCCCATACCTGTTCCTGGGAACGTGACTGTCAGTGTTGAAGCCCAGACCAAGGTTCTGCTGGAGGTTCCTCAGAAGGTGAGCCTGGGGGTGGGTGGGGCCGTGGCCCTGAACGGAATGTACTATGGAAACTGGAGGGTCTTAGGGTGCTGGACTGGCACAGCGCAGAGGGCGCCTGGATGCACAGACTCTTACTCCTGGACTTCCAGGGTCGTGGGGCTGACAGGAAGTAATCTGCTGCGTCAGCGCCTCCAGCAGCGCTGGGGTAGGAGGGCACAGCGCGCTCTCCGGGCAGTGGGGCGGTTTTGCTGTAATTATGAAGCGGACGTATCCATTAGCAAGTCCCTTCCAGTTGCTTTGAGGAGCTCTGCGGGCAGGCACTGTCGGGTAAGCATTGGGCTGCCATCACCAGGTCAGCGGTCCAAGCCCAGCAGCTGCTCCTTAGGAGAAAGATGAGGCGGACTGGCAACCCCTGACCCCCGAAGATCTACAGCCTCAGAAACCCTCCGTGGGGTCCGGGTGGCATAATCCACTGGATGGATGGTAGCAGTCTAGTTACTTCAGAAAAGGCCTTGGAATCTCCCATCCTCCCTACTAGGTGGAAGCGGTAAGCACGTGAGCATTTGCACCGCAGGGAAAGCTGCAAGGGCGGAGACCTGACACGTCTCAGGCAGTCTCTTTAATATATAAGGAACATGAACTCACTCGGCAGCGACTTTAAATGAAAGCTATTCTACCTTCAGATAAAATGTAAACCATGCCCAATGGAAACCAACAGTTGGAAAGGCAGTTACACTTGCAGCCTGAGTGCACGCTGGTGATAGCCATCAATCATTTTCTGAAATGGCCATGGCATTTCAACTTGCCGTGGACCACTCTGCGCTCACCATGAGATGTGTCAACGTCAGCAGCGAAGACACAGGGAGAACTTCTCTTTCTTTGGAGAGGGTTAGCCCTCCTCAATCGGCACGGTAACGAAACATATTCTGCGGAAGAATTCTAGGCGGAAAAATCACTGTACTCGATTTCAGCCCGTGCTGAGCGGACTTCATTTGTCCGTGACCTTGTCCAGTGTCCTTCTTCTACATCGAGCATGTTTCTTTCTTCTGATCTTCCCCAGTGAAAAGATTCTCAGCAACAGGAGCAGCATCAGTGGCTCCCTTGTCTGGTGCTGCCCGGTTGCTATCCTCTTCCAAGTCCCCATTTCCTGCCCCACCTCCCTAAGCTTCATTTAATTTGGTTTTTTTTTTTTTGAGATGAATCCCACCCTCCTCATTCGCCTCCTCATCCCCGGCCATCCCCCCAAACCCGCTTCATTTAATTTGATCTCTTGCTTTTCTGAAGTGTATGTGCTGAATCTTCCAACACTGGCTATTGCAGTACCTGTCTCATCTACAGCTCTTGGAATGCACAGGCTTAAATCTGTGTCATTTACGTTCACAGAGCCCTCAACCTCTATACCGCCTGGTCCCTGGGTGTAACGGGTATCACTTGCTTGATCATCATCATCATCAACCAGTGCAGGATGAAATTCAAATACCTGGAGACCACTGATCACGAGTGCTTTCCCTGCTTTGAAATTTCCAGATCTCAAGTTTATAGATCTTCTCTTTTCCTTTCTTTCCATGCAAGAGAAGCTTCTAGGGCGATTTTGTTAACATTTGGACCTCGGGCAGAATGCTTTCTTTCAATGAGGTCTCCTAATGAAGTTTTGTCTTCTTTCTTTTTATCTTTCTTCCACACCTTCCAGGGGGATGTGTGGAAGACATCCGGATGCCAGGGGGATGTGTGGAAGACGCCAAACCAGCCGGACCTGCTGTTTTCAGTAGCGTCACACACTTCAAATGCTTGCACACTGTTTGAATTTCGGGTTTTTCTTTTCCGACTCCCCGTGCTTCTTGTTCACGCTTCTTCCAGTGTTTCCTCGTCTCAATTCTCCACGGTCTCCTTTGCGATTTCCTCGTCTCTTGCATCGCGGTAAACACTCTGCTTTTCACATTTCCTCTGTGCGGGTCATGAGAGCCCTTCAGGGCACTGGCCTGGCTGGAGGAGCACACACCACTGATCTGGGACCTGCGCCTGTACTGGCTTTTTGAGCAGCAACGACGGTGTGAACAGTTCATTTAGCTCCTGCAGCGCTTCCTTCCTTGTCCTCGTCCGTTTCTTCTCCGCTTCACCTGGTGCCTCGCGATGTGGATTCTGCTGACTGAGTTCAACTTGATGAGTAACAGCCTTGGTACAGCTTCTGTTACTGCAACCCTTCTTAATCTTTAGACCAAAAGTTTCATCTTCGGTGGCTCTTTGTTCTTCTGCCCTGCCTTTTTGCTGCCCCCAGCCTGAGCCTGTTTCTTGGGAGGCATGGCGGAGTGGGTGGTCCCGGCTGACTAAAGCACAGCTGGACACCGTCCGGGGCTCTGGCCCTGTGGCAAGAGGATGAGGAAGCAGGGCTCCTGCGCCCCCCCCAACACACACCAGGGTGCAGCCTCAGCTTTTTCCTATAGCTCTCTATTAAGAATTCTCTGTTTTGGCTTTGCGTTTTCCTACTCTGACAGGTTTGCCCTATGCTGGCTCTGGCTTTTGTGAGTTTGACTGTATATTGAATCACATATGATGTACATATGTTCCTGTAATGCATACACTACAGTCCCTGGGTGATGTCCAATTGATGTACAACCTTACATAGAGCCTGAAGTTATGAATCAAATACCAGAAAGGCTAGAATAGAAAAAAGTCTGAGGCATTTACAATGGTTTGCAATAGCAAACATATGCTACTTTGAGACACACATCAAAAAATTATTGCTGTGTCATTATGCTAAAGATGTTTTAGAGCAGTGGTTCTCAACCTGTGGTCGCGACCCCTTTGGGGTTCCAACGACCCTTTCACAGGGATCGCCTATTTCATAACAGTAGCAAAATGACAGTTATGAAGTAGCAACGAAGCTACTTTCATGGTTGGGTGGGTCACCACCACCTGAGGAGCTGTATGAAAGGGTCGCAGCATGAGGGAGGTTGAGAACCACTGCTCTAGAGTATCTGCAAGTGTCGCGTGCTTTTTATGCATAGAAAGGTACACTGTTTACTGAGACAAATATTAAGACGCCGTCGGGTAAGTGTTAGACTGAACTGCAAGGCCAGTGGTTCAAATCCGCCCCTCATTGCTCGGGAGAAAGGTGGCGCTGTTCCCATAAAGACTTACAGCCTCAGAAGCTTCACACAGGGTCACTGGGTCAGAATCAGCTCCATGGGAGCAGTCCTGGACAGGACAACTATTTATTTGACTAACTGCGGTTCGATATGGGTGTCCTGACATGGGTGGTAGATTCTCCTTCAAGACAGATTCTCTGCTGGGGCATGGAGCCTCACTCGGCATTTAGAACTTGTACCTGCTATCTTTGAGGTGTGTAGGAAGGAGCCCCGGTGGCACCCTGGGTTAAGCACTGGGCTGCTCGTCACAGGAGCAGTGGTTCAGATCCATTAGCTACTCTGAACGAGAAAGATGAGGCTGTCTGCTCCCGTAAAGATTTACAGTCTTGGAAACCCTAAGGAGTAGCTCCACTCTGCCCTACGGGGTCACTGAGAGTCAGAATCGACGTGGATGGCAGCAGGTACGGGCAGGCTTGGGCACGCTTTGCTCTCTGAATCCAAGAAGTCTGGTAGGAATCAAAAGCCCTTAGGGACAGATTGGAGCAGGGGCAGCCTCGTTTCTCCACACTGGCACCAAGCCGCCCTGCGGGGTGGTTGGGAAGGGCACACACAGCTGCTGCAGCTGCTGCGGCATGGTGGCCGTCAGCCATACTGTGGGTTCGGGTTTGTAGCCGAGCTGAGGCCCACGCCAGGACTGTCACGGCAGGACACCAGCTCCACCTCCTGGTGCCCCGGCAAGCAGGCCTTTCCTCCCTGCCCGCACCTGTGTATGGGGTTGGGTGTTGCCCAGAGGGTCCTCCTATAGCGTCTACCTGTGTTTCATGTATGATCAGTCTGTTCCTGCGTCATACGTGTAGATAGCCCTTGCGTCTCGTTTTCCCTGCCCCGTCTCTCTCGCTTCCGCCAGGCATGGCCATTCCAGTCTCATCAGCTGGGCCTCCTGCAGGAATCAAGGGCGAGCCCTGCCCTCTTGAATCTGCGTGGAGTGGGCAGAATTGTTCCTTGTGCACGGTCACTGTACAACCAACTGAAAGGCCGGGGCCCACCCGCACCAGCCACTCTGCAGGACATGCTCTGGCAGTCAGGCCCGCTCCACAAAGACCCAGAGCACCGGGCAACCCGCAGGGCAGCTCCACGCAGCCTCCCAGACTCCTGGCCCAGAACTGACCCCGTGGTAGCGTGCTCCGCATCTTCTGAGACCCACTAGAGGGCACTCTGATCCTTAGGTTTCTTCCAGTGCTGACCTGGAATTCAACATGTTTGCAGAGGCTGATGTAAGCAGCGGGGGCCCTACTCTCCTACTGTGTGTTGCCTTGCCCTCTGTTATCACCGGTCAGTCCGAAGTATTCTCCCCATCCCGCTCCTCCTGCTGCCCTCCCATTCCTGGTACCCGTCCCTCTCAGGCCTCTGTGAGATTTAACAGTGAGACGCACTAGCATTCACCGTCTCCCCTTGGCCATTCCCAATAGCAAGAGTTATGAACTCCCAACCATTTGCGTGGCCTAAAAATCAATCAATCAATCAATCAATTAATCAGGGGCCAGGTTCCTCAGGTGAGCTTCTTTCCGTGTTCTCTATTGAGGGTGTTACCCAGCCCCATCCTAAAATGCAGTGCATGTGTGCGGGCCCTTCTGATGTTAGCCCGGAGGCTCTCCCAGCTCTGTGCCTTCCACTTGCTCTCCCACCTTCTGGGTTTACCCTGACTGCAGCACCGCAGCTGCCCGAGAGCCCAGCCTGTGCCTCTCAGGCGTTCTTCAGAGGGTTGGTGGCTATGGGAGTAATTGGGAGCCTACACTTACCCCGCCTTCTTGCTCTGCCCCCTTCCAATAGATTTCCTCCTGATTACCAACTCCCACCAGTGTGCTGGAACTGCCTGAAGTCTTCTGGGGAAGCCTGGGTTCCCAAGGAAAATCCAGCAAACAATGCCATGATTATCAGCTAGGTGACACCTTACCTATCTCCTGCCACCACGCTTGGTCAAATAGTGGGGCAGTGAAAAAGAGGTAGGCCCTTCAAGGAGATGGATGGACCCAGTGGCTGCAAACAATGGGCTCAAACATAGAGTAATTGTGAAGATGGTAAAGGGTCTTGATGGGTCAGAACCGACCAGATGCCCCCTAACAACAGAAACAGCCATCAGTTCAGGTCGGAGTCCCAGGGAGTCTATTTGGAGTTTCTTGTTGTTGTTGGGTCCCATCTAGTCCGTTCCCAATCACAGTGACCCTGTGCACAACAGAAGGAGACACTGCCCGGTCCTGGGCCAGCCTCACCGTTGTTCGTCTGCATGAGCCCATTGCTGCGGCCACCGTGTCCATCCATCCTGCTGAAGGTCTTCCTCTTTTTGGCTGCCCCGTTACTGTAGCAAGCATGCTGGCCTTCTCCAGAGACCAGACATGTCCAAAGAACGTGAGGTGGAGCCTCGCTCTCCTTGCCTCTAAGGAACATTCTGACTGCACTTTTTGTAGGACAGTATTCTTCCCCAGCGCCATGATTTCCTAGGCTGTGTAAAGCTTTGCCAGAGCAGACAGCCTTGATCTTGCTCCCTCGGGTTTGAATCGCCAGCCTTACTGTTAGCAATCCAGCGTTTCCCCAACATATCTACCAGGGCGCCTTGGTTAGGTTCTATTCGGTGAGTGAGTCATGACCACCAGAGGAACTCTACAGCTGCCTGTGGGTCTGTGGGTGGGGGGGGGCGGGGAAGAGACCCCAACTGATTTTGGAAAGAGACCACATTGCTGCCGCAGATGCTCTTGAAGGTACCATCTGGTTAAAAAATTCTGTGCTTTGAAGAAGAAGAAAGCGGGCAGGGAGAGAAAGCTGGCCCTTTAAAGAAGCAAAGGAGGTGCGATATTTGCTCCTGGAGTTCCCACGAATAACCCTTTTCAAACTTCCTCATTAGGTGGAGTTAACTGTGGAGAAAGAGGTGGCAGGCTTCTGGGTCAAGATCCCGTGTATGGAGCAGATGGGCAGTTGCTCCTATGAAGATATCTGTAGTATGCTCGACAGTTTCATCCCCCCTGGGCAGAGCTGCCCCGAGCCCCTGCACACCTACGGGCTTCCATGCCACTGTCCCTTCAAATCAGTGAGTACTCGGGGAGAAAGGCATTGCCCCCCCATAGGCTAGCGTCAAGGGATGGGGTGTGGGGAGCAGGGCCCTGGCCGGCATTCTCCTCTTGCTGACCCGATGTCTGGGTGGAGGTGAACCACTATCTGTTTGAGCAACGGGAGACATGGACTTGGATGTGATCTCCAGGGTGGCAGAATGACCATATTCCAAATTCCTTGCTGCGATGGCATTTTCAAACTTGGGCGGCTCTTAGGGGAACAGCTCCGGCCTAGAGTCCTAGAGGTGGCCCCAGGAGAGGGTCTCAGCAGTAGATCTCCCCTAACCGGCGGACCACTTGACTTTCCCCCCTGCAGGGCACCTACTCTCTGCCAAAATCTAATTTCGTCCTGCCTGACCTGGAGCTGCCCAGCTGGCTCAGCACCGGCAACTACCGTATCCAGAGCATCCTGAGCAGCCAAGGCAAGCGCCTGGGCTGCGTCAAGATCGCCGCCTCGCTCCAGGGCAAATAAGGGGGCTGTGCCACCGCATAAGCCCGGGATCTGTCTTGCATTTGTCCAGACCAGATTCTGACTCTGTCCCCCTTCAACTCCTTTTCTGCACTGACTCCACTACCCTTACTGAAAATCATTTCATGCCACCTATGCGTTAGGCAGGGGCAAGCAGCCCTGGCTGAAGGAGAGGACCAGTCTGGCATTGAGGATGAGCCAGGCCATCTGCTGGGCTGGCCACTTTACCCTCCTCCCCACCTTGGTGGCCTCCTCCTCCCTAAGCACTTCATTCATTTCTTCAATATTTAAGGGCTGGGGGTGGGGGTGGCGGTGGGGGACTAACACGTGTGGAGCTCCAAGTTCAGACCGATTCAGCCTCTTGAAATAGCTTTGTAACTTTTTCTTTAAGTTTGTTTGTTTTGTTTTGTTTTCCTCACGGACTTAGACACCGAGCCAAGGGAATTAACATTTTTCATTTCATTCTAACCCTCTTTTATAATGAAGTAGTAGATGTAGACCGTTCCTCCACTGACCTCTGTGATTCAGGATGCTTTTCTGGGTTTGCCCAACTCTGTGGAGTGTGTGATCCCCAGAAAAGGCAGGGCATGTGTATGTGAGGGGGAATCCCTGGGCGATATTCAGGAACATTCTTTGTGTTTAAGGAAG